TCCTTCATTCCCTGCTAACCAGATACATTGTTGATGTCAGTGAAGCATCTCTGAAAGCAACATGCCTAGAGCCCTGCAGAGATTGAGGGACGTTCGAAGCTGACAGCTACTCGGCTACTCTCTGCGTCTCAAAATAACTAAGTTGAACCAAGCAAAAAAAAAAAACANNAAAAAAAAAAAAAAAAGGCAAGCAGCTTGGCCAGGGCCCGGCCGAATTCTTTCATGTTTGGCCGGCCGCCCATTGAAAGCTTCTGCATGATGATGTAGGAGCCTCCTTCTCGGTTTGGAAGTATCGGTCTTTAGCATGGCTTCCAGTCTTGGGACTCAACTCATCCACTCTAACTAGAGACGACTGAGCCTTTGACGACTCGAATCACGAACATTTCACTACTAGCTGCAGAAACACAATTTGCCTGAGGATTACACAATCAATTGAATGTGCAGGATTCGCAGGTATCCCGGCATCTGTAAACGCACAGTCGGGCACCCCGTCGTGGGCATGACACCAGCAAAACGCGTCTGTATTGCTTTGAGCAGTATCTGGGCCCGGAAACGAAGCATAGCCCTATCTCTCGAAAAAAAGTACACGGGTTGCAGTTTGAGGGCGGTACATGGCATACTGGTTCCCAGGACGGCAGGCAGCAGCGATGCTGTGGGAGGTTGTGGGGTGGGTGGTGAGGGCTGAGGGGTGCGTGGTGATATGTGGTGATGGGTGGGTGTTGGGTCCTGGTGCCGCGGCTTGTGTAGGTGCTGGGTGGCGGTGGGTGGCGGCATAGCGAGGGCGGCAGCGGCAGTGGCAGTGGCAGTGGCAATGGCAGTGGCCAACACACTACAAGATGACGAGAGAATGAAGACGATTAAACATGAGCAAAATGAAGATAGGAACCGTCTCAGCGATGAAACACCGCCACATCTTCGAAGTGCCGCCCGCAATGCTAGACCCCAAAGCTTGACGCGGAGATGAGGTAAACTAAGAAAAAGAGCATAGCTGCATTGCCTGACTTCCTTGAGTGAGGCGATGACACGATCATATTGTTGAAGCGATTTGCAGGTGTTCCTTCAGTATGTCGGTATGTTTTGTTTGGGGGCGCCGTGCAGGTTTTCATGTAGTCATGGACAGGCCTACTGAGACGCTCGTCTGCCCTAGCGCATCTTGACTCTAACACAGAACCTGGCAAGTCGCCTCCCAAAACTACCAAACTTGAGATGAACAACTCACGCTCCCCGGCGTCGAGAAAGCTACGTGTACCGCAGGGCCGAAAGGACCCTGCCTCAAGACCAGGCTGCCCGCCCAGACAAATTCTCCGTCGAGGCATTACACATAGACAGAGCCGAACACTGAAATGTCACTTACTAGCCCCTACACCCTGAACCCTGTATCCCAAAACCTTTTAGATGTCAATTTCTTTGCCTTTGCCATCGTCCCCATAGTTGATCACTTCAGGCACGCAAACGCCGCCTGGCTCTGTTTGCAGACCACAGCAGATAGCTTTTCTTAGACAGCAGCCATGCAAGGACCTGCGCGATGGGCCTGACGGGGTGGAGCTTACTTTGTTGCGACACCATCTCAAAACGGCTCATGACTACCTCAATCTTGGCATCAAGCTGTCAAGGCCTTTGGCCTTTGGCGGATCGGTGATTGAAACATTGCAAAAACATGAAGAACGAATCAGTGGCCTGCTGCGCGCAAGGCCTCCAGTCCCAAGGCCTCACCTGCGTTCAAAGAAAGGCTGCTTGAGGATGTTAAGGAAATGACTTTAACATCTTTGAGTCCTTTGATCCTGAACCTACAGTAACTTGCGGTGTATATAATCACCAAGATCGTTTGAGGTCTATCTGGGGTACCCTATACCACTGTTGTACCAGGAAACTGAGACCATAACATGGATAAGTATCTTTCTTACTTAGGCCGCTATGTTAGCCCACGGCGGTCAGAGACTGGCAAGATCCCCAATCCCACGCTGAACCGAATGAAGTCCTGACAATCTTCTCTGGCCGATCCTTTGAACATCTTCTCCGCTGGACGGTTGGATGTCTTCACGAAGAAGTCGCCCTGCAGCCATACCCAAACTGCCTCCTAAAGCCACGTAGTAGTGTTGATGCTCAAAAATCCTGCATGACCTTAGCATGTCCGGCAATGTCCAGTCTCTCCTCTTGTGCTTGTGCCTCCACAAAATCCACGAGCCTGATGCTGCAAGGGCTCAAGTAAGCGGAATTAGAGCCGCGGAGTGCAAGATTTCAAGCCATGAGAACAGGAATTGTGGAGCCTTGGGTTTGCAACTATATTGCCTGGAACCCCATGGAGTGAAACTGCTCAGACATACACGATTTTCAACATAGCCTAATGAATGTGATGGCGCCTTGTCCGTCTCCAAGGTCTGGAAGGAAGCCCAGCTGCTGCCTTGATGTTGGGGGGCATATTGTTCGTGTTCCGTAGAGAGCGGACTTGAACTGAAAGATCTCGAGGTCACAAGGCTCTTGGGTTTTGCATACTCAGTGTTGGATTGTTTTGGATCTACGATGTTCAAGCTTAAGGAGTTCTGCGCGCTCTTGCTGGTAGGGCGGCAAGGACATGCATTTCCGACCTGCCTTCCGAGGTGCCTGAATCTGAGTTGTCTTCTCAACCCTTGAAGCTTGAAGATGCCAGAACCACAGAATTGGATTCTGTACCACAAGATGCCTCCTCGACCTTGCTTTGATCTGATCTCATAGCCATTGGCTTCCATCCACTCTGCCTGAGCTTGCTGAAGGTCATTCGAGTAGGACAATTCAAAGAGCCGTCGGGGAGCCATAGCACTTGAAATAACGGCTTTTCAAAAAATGATGCTGAGAAGCGGTGGCCGATGGCATCTCAGCAAACCCGTTGCTAAGCAAAAGATTGCCACTATCATGTTGCAAAAGGGGCAGGAGGCTTGGCAGCTCTTTATGTTGGAGGAAACTGCAACCTGAAGTTGATGACTTGCTTGCAGATATCCAGCTGAGCAAAGCTGACATGAGCTAGAAGCAGCACGGCTGTTCCGTTTAAGGGACCTCAGGTTTCAATTTTATGTCCATGTTCATGTCCGTTGGGCTCTTCCATCATTGGGGTAATATCCCCATATAAGCTTCAGAAGCCATACTGCTCAGGTATGGCTTCGACTGTCTTGCTTCAAGAGTACTGTTGGCAAACATTGCGGCATCCAGGATCCAAACAACTGTTCTAGCATGGATTTGGGGCCCTCTAAAAATTGAATGTTGATGGCACTATAGGGACTACCTAACATAACCCTATAAGCCCACATAGAAGCCCGTGCCCTGCAGGTCTGATCCAGCGGCTGCAGCATTGCTGAAGCGCCGCATCACGCCGTCTGGTGCGCGGCCGGAGGCTTCCAGACCAGTGAAGCAGGGCCTGCGTCAGGAAAGCTTTGAAGGGTTTAAGATGGGCACAGGGCCTCTGAGTTTATGGGCTTTCGGTCTTAAACTATGCCGCATGCATGGCAGTACGAAGTTTGGTGTGGCGGTCCACACAGACTGGCTCATGGGAACGTCACAGACTCGACTAGGTGTTAACAAATCTCAGCTGGATCTTGCAAGCTACTTCTGGTCTTACCTTGAGAAATCTGCGCTCTGTGCCGGCTCAAATGTAATGGATCTGTGTGATAGCAACCTGAGGCATGTGGTTTGCCAGTAGTGTTTGGAAGACACAGGCTTGTTCTGAAGTTCCTTGGAACCTTCCCAAATCCGGTCCACTAGTTAGCGTGCCTGTGCAAGCTGCTCACCACCAGCAGCAACACGCAAAAGGAAGCGCTCCGGGATCTCATGGTTGCCCTAAGAGAATGTGCTGACAGTGACCCCCCAAGGCCGGGCTCAGCATGCCTATCTGAAGATCCAGGCCTAGCTGTCTCTGTTGCAAGTGCAACGGGATGCACGATTCTGCTATCCAGCCCCTCAACTGCCTTCCTTGACCTTCCGAAATCTGGGCGCCATTCTACAACTTACGCTTTTGCATTCCAATATCGCCAGACCATTGAGCCTGCAGCTTGAGCCAGAAAGGCTGCATGGCCCTTCTTGCAGCCCATGTCACAGCCCAGACCCTCTACTGGGCTCTCACGACAAGATCTGGCCATGCATGCAAGATCAAAGCGTAGCTCTTCCGAAGCTGGTAAACGGCTGCAATCACTTCTGCAGGTCTGCTTATCAGACTTGTCCCGCAAGGGAGCGCTGTGCGTACACGGGCCTTGTAGTAACTTCATGCTGGGTTGCTTGGCTACTGGCTGAGCTGCACAGTACCATCTGAAAGTAGCTGGTTTGAACTGAACTCTGCTGCCAAGGTCAACCTGACACTCTGAAAAGACTGCATACGATGGAACAAACATCAAGACATCATCAGAAACTGTTCGTGCGCTGAAATTTGCGCTCTGGCTTGTTGAAGCACCGAACCATAACAGGGAACCCTACCACAAGAAGCAAGCCTTTTAATCGTCAATCACAGCGGGTCCTTGTCCAAGTTCACGCTGAAGGACACGGAATCCTTTTCGGAGCAAAAGTCGTTTGGTGAGGAGGGCACATGGCTGGCAGGGGCTTTTGAAGCCATACTTGGGGGCAAGGATTCAAGCCCACCTGAATCATGGAATGCTGTGCTACACCCCCCCCCGCCTTTAATCCCCCTCCCCCAAGGAAGGCCTAAGAAAGTACCAGTTGGTTCCTATTTGCTCATTTGTGGTGAGAGCAAGTACCATAATTGAACGCAAACCTTGCAGTTTGAGCTTCTGCCATGTAACTCCCACTTGACATGCAGGCAGAAAGCACCACCTGCAACCGTGAGCCAATTGCAAAAAGCCTCCAATTTTCAGATGATCATGTTAAGACGACCTTCCACTGACCTTCCAGACCTTAAAGCATTTGGACTCAGAAACACATTTTCGGATACCGAATACGCTTGTCTAGGAAGCAAGGAACGTCCTCGCCGTCTGCGAACGTGTAATGCCTTTGCGGGCATCTCGTTGTGAATGACTACTTGCTAGATGCATGCTTGACTCATATCAAGCTTGGCTTTGCACAAATGACGCATGCTTCCCGCAAATGCACCAATAAAAAACAGATCTGGATCACACGGAGTTGCACTTTTGGAAAGTATTCGTTTCTGCAAAGATGGGATGAATTCTTGTGGCTTGCTGTCCCAAGTCCTTGAAGAGGGATGGAGCAAGCAACTCCTGAAATCGAGGGAGATGTTCCTTCCTTTTGCAAAATGTGTTTGTCTTTGGAGTGGCGCTGTGTT